CAATTAAAAAAAAAATCATTCCTTGAGTTTGAGAGATCATGCTAACGTTCAAGTATGTGAAGGTCTTTCAGGCAGTCAGCTGGCCTGGAGGCAGCACTTTTCTGTATCCTCCAGTCAGGGAGCTTTGGGACTGGGAGACAGGGTCACTAGTATAGGTTAGCGGTTTGAGGGGCCTTCTCATCCTGCCCAGTAATGTGGTAAGAATCTCACTGATCTTGTTACACTCTGAATAGGATGAGTGTTGCTGAGTTAACCAGTCACCTCTTTATACAGATTCCTGCATAAGGGTGAGTTGGATGAAGATTACTGTAGGACCAGTGACTTAGAAAATTTGGAAAGTCTGGGGCTGGTCCCATGGTCTGGTGGTTAAGTTCAGCATGCTCCACTGCGGTGGCCTGGATTCGATTCCTGGGTGCAGACCTACACCACTCGTCAGTGGCCATGCTGTGGCAGTGACCCACATACAAAATAGAGGAGGACTGGCACAGATGTTAGCTCAGGGTGAATCTGCCTCAAGCAAAAAGAGGAAGATTGGCAACAGATGTTAGCTCAGGGCAAATCTTCCTCAGCAAAAAACAAAACAAAACAAAGTTTGGAAAGTTTGAGAAGCATCTGGCAGTGGCAGTGGCAGTGGCAGTGAGTGTGTTCCACTAGTGATCCAAGAGGAGGATCAAATGGAGGTGTGAAGGGAGATGCTGTAGAAGAGGCATTTGTTTTATTAATTCCTATCTTTATATAAAAGCTCATTACAGAAAAATCAGAAAAGGCCAAAACAAAAACAACACTGTACAGACATCTTAAGAACAAAAAGTTTGCATCATATTGAACCTACTGTTTTTACCCTTTTTTAAAAAAAGATTGGCATCTGAGATAACAACTGTTGCCAATCTTTTTTTTTTTCTGCTTTTTCTCCCCAAATCCCTCCATACATATTGTATATTTTAGTTGGAGGTCCTTCTAGTTGTGGCATGTGGGATGCCACCTCAACGTGGCCTGACGAGCGGTGCCGTGTCCGCACCCAGGATCCAAACCAGTGAAACCCTGGGCCTCCGAAGCTGAGCACACGAATTTAACCACTCGGCCACGGGGCCGGCCCCTTAACTTTTTTAATTTTGAAATCTTTTAGACATAAAAAAATTGAGAGTATGGTAAATACTAGATTCAGATTAATCTTTTAAAAATTTTTTATTTTGATATAGTTTCAGACTCACAGGTAAGTTAGAAGAATACAACACAGAATTCTGGAATGGTCTTCACCCAGATTCCCTAAAATGTTAATGTTTTACTACATTTGCTTTGTCTTTTTCTTTCACCTCTGTTTCTGTGTGTCTCTGTGTGTGCTCATGCATGTGTGTAGATTTATTTCTGAACTACTTAGGAGTAAATTGCCTTCATCATGCTCCCTCAGTCCTCAGTACTTCACTTGTTTTTCCTAGAAATGAGTTCCCTTAGACACAGCACAGGGATCACAGTCAGGAGCTTAGCGTTGACAGCAGCACCTCTCTAATCTACTGACCTTATTCAGATTTCACCACTTGTCTCAACGTGTCCTTCATAGCCAAAGAAAATCCCAGATCTTATGTTGTATTCCGCTGTCACGTCTCTCTTTTCCTTTAATCTGGAACCATTCTCTAGTATTTCTTTGTGTTTCAGGGTATATTAGAGACCTAGATTTTTTGTGTTTTGTATCTAACAGTATATACTAAACATTTTTCCGTATTGATAGATACTGAGAGCAGCATAGGATAGTGATTGAGCCAGGGCTCTGGGGCCAGACTATCTGGTTTCAAATCCTGGTTTCACTACTTAATACCTGTGTTATCTTCAACAAGTTTTGCCTGTGAAATGGGGATACTAACACTACCTCTTAGGGTTGTGAGAATTAAATGAACGCATACGTGTATGTTACTGAGTACACTGCCTGGCACAGGGTAAGCTCTCAGAACGTGCCAGCTATTCTTATTCACACCACTACATGACATTCCCAAGGGACATTCTGCAGACATCTTGGCAGTAGTTGTGGCTTTGTTCGCCTCTCCCACCCTCCTTTTCTTCATACCTAGGTTCCAGAGGGCAAACTTGGCCAGCGAACTCCACTGCAGTGTGGTTTAGGTTGGCAAAAACTGCTCTAAGGGAGTAGCTTCCAGATGCTGGTTTGTGAACTCATATTGGTTGGTAATGGTGTCACTGGTCTAAGAATAGGAACATTGAAGTGACTTCATCAATGCTAAATGACTTATTATGAAAGTACATAGTTCTCTTTTTTTGGTGTTAAAATGTGCTTTTAAAAAATGATATTTATTATAGGTGGTTGTTCCGTCATTATTGTATTTTAGTATATTTAGTGGGTCAAAAAAAACAAAAATGGAGCTGGCCCTGTGGCCGAGTGGTTAAAGTTCCACGCACTCCGCATCGGCAGCCCAGGTTCGCGGTTGCAGATCCTGGGTGTGGACCTACTCCACTCATCAACCGTGCTGTTGAGGCATCCCACATACAAAATAGAGGGAAGAAAGGTTTTTTTTTTTTTTTTTTTTAAGATTTTATTTTTTCCTTTTTCTCCCCAAAGCCCCCCGGTACATAGCTGTGTATTCTTCATTGTGGGTTCCTCTAGTTGTGGCATGTGGGACGCTGCCTCAGCGTGGTCTGACGAGCAGTGCCATGTCCGCGCCCAGGATTCGAACCGACGAAACACTGGGCCGCCTGCAGCGGAGTGCGCGAACTTAACCACTCGGCCACGGGGCCAGCCCCAGGGAAGAAAGGTTTTTAAAGATTTATTGCTAATGTGAGGTAAAAAGTGGAAGGCCTAGTCATGAGTTGCTGAAGTAGACAGATTCCAGCTCTAAAGCTGTAAGGCTCTGTGTCTAGTGCAGTATTTCTTAACTTTAGTGGCACATTACAGCTGTCTGGGTGCTTTTTAAAAAGTACATCACCCTGCCACAACTAGAGGGACTCACAACTAAAAATATACAACTACATTAAACCAGGGGGATTTGGGGAGAAAAAGGAAAAGTAAAATCTTAAAAAAGTACATGATCCTGTGCCCCACTCTAAACCTACTGACTGAGACTCTGACTGCGAGACCCTCATATACGTGCAGTTGCAAAGCTCCTCCAAGTGATCCTGAGGCCCAGCTCACCTCTGGCTGTTCCCCGCTGACTGGATGCTTCACCGGCCTTGGGAAGAGTCAGACCCACTTAGGTTAAGGGTTGTTGTCCTGGGTACTTTCTTTTTTTTTTTTTAAACTGAACAGTATTTTAAGATTTTATTTTTTTCCTTTTTCTCCCCAAAGCCCCCCGGTACATAGTTGTATATTCTTCGTTGTGGGTCCTTCTAGATATGGCACGTGGGACACTGCCTCAGTGTGGCTTGATGAGCAGTGCCATGTCTGCACCCGGGATTCGAACCAACGAAATACTGGACCGCCTACAGCGGAGCGCGAGAACGTAACCACTCGGCCACGGGGCCAGCCCCATGGGTACTTTCTTGAAAGCTGCAACTTAAACTTCTGATCACAGGTGCTAGAATTGATAAATGAGGCAAGCTTTGGGATCATCAGAGCTCCCCAGGGCCTTTTTTAATCCTTTTTTTCCCCTAATTGTTCACTGAAGTTAGGAGCTTTCTTGTCAGAAGCCCATTTCTGTAAACTGCTTGATAATATACTCATAATTCGCTTATTCTAAATGATAGTTATAGAAGAGTAGTTTTATGGCAGTTTAACGATGCACTGATTCATTTCGTTCCTTTCTGTAGTCTTGTACATATTCCACCAGTGGCATAAGAGAAGAGTAGCTAAGCAGCTGCTCTGAGGCTCGCCCTAAACTCCTGACTGTGGCTTCTGAGGCCCAGTGTGCCCTGGCTCCTGCTTCAGCTCACACCAGCCTTGTCCTCACTACCTGTGTTTCAGATTCTCCTGTCTTCTAGTCCTTGAATATGCCAACTTCATTCTTCTTATACCCCCACATCTTTTGGTGGATCCCTCTAACTGCTTGGGTCTCAGCACAGATGTTGTCTCCTCAGGGAGATGATCCCTCACCAGTCTTTATTGTATTACCTATTCATAGTATTTGTCACTATCTGAAATAATTTTATTGATTGATTGTCTCTTCCCTCTAACGTCAGCTCCATGAGAGCAGATCCCTGTCCATCTTGTTTCCCATTGAACTCCCAGCGTCTGGAACAGTGCCTGGCTCCTAATAGGTGCTCACTAAGTATTAGAGGAAGGAGTGCTTTGGACTCTACACCCTGGCCCACCCTTCTGTAGTGCAGGCCTGAGCTACGCTTGTGGAGGTGTCTCTTGTTACTAGGAGATTAGAACTGTAGCAGTTTTCTGGAGCAAAGTTAAATACCCTTGAGCCTTATGATTTTTTGAAATCCGTTGTGCTGCAATGCTCTCACAGAGCTTTTTCCTTGCCCACATGTTGTAGGTTAGAATGACAACAGCTATTTAGAAATATTTGTCCATAAGGCGCAATTAGAGGGTAACTGATCCCTTTGGATTAGAGTTAACTTCATAGTCTCTCAAGTGGTGGGATTTTTGTCTTCTGGGTAAGAGCTGTATCCTGAAATCCTGAGCAGTAAAGAACATCTTGAATTTAGAACTTAGGCCTATTTGTCACTCCTGTCTTTCCCCTTGCTTCAGAAATACTGTAGTCTGGGTACAGATAAACTTGTGGCCTGCTTGGACAGTGTTTTCTAAAGCTTCTGAAAGCCTCATGACCTTAGAGAGGTCTTCCTCATGGACCCCTTTGAGAATCTGATGGTGGTAACAGACCTTCTCCTTAGAAAATGTACATATACCTGTGCATATAGTTTTGCCTGTAATTTTGAGGGGTGTAAGGACTTGCTGAATGCCCTCCATGGACCCTAAAATTCTGTTTGGGGATTTAGATTGCTTTGCTCATCCATCACAGCTGGGTCATAGCTCTTCCATGGCTGTTTCTTTCTGACCCGGTCTCCTGTGCCTTCTCTCGTTTTTATAATAACCTGCTGGACCCTCTCAGGCCCAGAAGAGGCGGTATTCTCCAGGAGTCCAGGTACTTAATTCTTGACCCACCATGGTCATCCCTTATTCCCTGTGTGTCCATCCAACATTTGCTACTGTTTATATCCACATGGCTGTTGTCTCAAGAGTCACCAGTCTCTGATTTCGACTGCATCTCCACCTTGCATGTTGACTGTTCAGGACAATGAGGAACTCACCAAAGAAGTGGCATGTCTCATGTTTCCTCTCCTGTCATCACTCTGCCTCTCTGCACTGCCTTAGCACTGGGCTTGTCTGGAACGGTTAGCTCATTGTTTCTAAGGAGAATTTGCTCCTACAACTCTATTGGAGAGAGAGGGCCCCTGAAGTAGGTGGGGAAATGGATGGGATATGGAGAAACTTTCAGTGGGAGAACCTTGCCTGGAATATTATTGGGAGAAGTTATATGTGGGCTGGAAGGTCTTTTGACTAAGAACAGGTGTGGTGCTGGAGAACACCATCCAGCAGCCTGGTTCTGGCAGTGCTCTTTCTGAGTCCTAATCCATTTAGTATCATATGGTTATAGGATTTTAGAATTTGAAAGGAGCTATCCTGAATGGGAAGATTTCCCTCATCAAACAAGTATTTTCACAATACCTGCTGTGTGCAAAACACTTACCCTGAGGGGGAAGGGATGGAGCTAAGGTGGAGACATGCAAAGAAGCATAATAAATGATTTTTTCTTTAAGAAGTTTACGTGGCAGTTTGGGAGATAAGTGTATATACATAAAAGAAAACCATCAGTCTTGGGCAATATATAGGTGCCAAATGGTGATCTCTGGGAGTATTCGAGTCAGACTCCAGAGGGCCCATTTCAAGCCCGTCCCAGATCCATAGCAAGGAGGATTCCTGAAGACAAGTGCAGAGTTGAGTCGCTTCCTGGGCCATATCCCTTGAGAGACCATCTGAGTGTGGGTTCTCATGGGCTGCTAATGATGAGGCAGAGTGGTCGTCTGGTCTGCTGTAAGGGGCTCAGCTTGTGTGTACAAAATTCCTGTTGCTGTTTGTACAGGCATTCCCAAGAGTACTTCCTTACCATCCTCTGCTTTTCCTTCCCTGCTTCCGCAGCGGGTGTTCCCCTACATCTCAGCCATGGTGAACAATGGCTCCCTCAGCTATGATCATGAGCGGGATGGACGGCCCACAGAGCTGGGGGGCTGTACAGCCATTGTCCGCAATCTCCATTATGACACCTTCCTTGTGATTCGCTATGTCAAGAGGCATTTGACGGTGAGTCCCTGTTCTGGACCAGTTGGCGGTATGGGCTGTCTCTCTCCTGCTTTCGTGGCCTAGCCCTGATTTATCTCTTCTCTTTATTCTAGATAATGATGGACATCGATGGCAAGCATGAGTGGAGGGATTGCATTGAGGTGCCTGGGGTTCGTCTGCCCCGGGGCTACTACTTTGGCACCTCCTCCATCACTGGGGATCTCTCAGGTACTGCTGTATGCACAGTTATTTACCTGACTGAGGTCACATCTCCATAGCCAGGCCTTGGTGAGGCTTCAGAGGGGAGAACCAGATAAGCAGAGCTCTGAGAAGCAAGTGCCTTGGGAGTACTTATCTTCCTGCATTCTTGTATCCAGATCCCTTCCAACCCCCAGGCCTAGGCTATCCTGGGATAGTTGTCTCTAGGACATGGTGGGTGCTAACAGAGAGCAGTGTTGGCCTCTTCATCAAGCCAGCCCTTCCAGCCTGTGTTTTGAGTTCCATACTTTCCTATTTCTGGTGCCCCTTTTTACAGTCAGGTTCCCCTCCTTCCACCTTCTGATGTGGTCAGTTCTTCTTCTCTTAACAAAGCTTTTCCTTGGCTGTGCCATCCCTCTTCTAACTGACCCCTCGGACTCTCCTTTGTTCTCACACTTTTGAATGTGTCATGTGTATGGACACTTCTGTTTCCCAGCCATCCACCTCTAGTCCGTGCTGCATTCGGACCTGTTTCTCTGCTGTGCTTTTAGCACTATTCTCATAAAATTGACTTCCATTTCCTTGCCGTGTATAGTCCTCTGTTCCGGTCCTCGCTCTTTGTCCTCTCTTCAGCTCATTTGACCAATGATTCTGAAACTTTTGCCTTCGTTGACTTATGTGGCATAACAGGACCTAGTTCTTTGACTTTAATATTTCCTCTGGATTTTCTTCCTACTCGTTCCCAATTTGTAGCTTCTTTTCATATGTTTATTCTCCCCCTTGGCGTTAGCCCCAATCATAGCATCTTTTGAGAAGAGGTAAGGAACTGAACTTTTTGTTCTTTTGATTAATTTATTTTGAATAAAGCTAGTATGAAATAGAACTTTCTTGTGGCAAAAAGGAAAGGCAAATACCCATCCGAAATGGGCAGCAGCTGCTCAGTTCCAGCCATTGTCGCCAGGAGAAAATGTGGACTTAATGAGACCCTGTTCTCCAGTTTTTCAAGAGAAGCTGGAAATCTGGATTTTTTTAAAATGAAATCTCATTTTTAAAATCCTGGCAACTAGTTTTTTAAAACATTAACTTTATTGAAGTATGCTTTCCGTACAACAGAAGTAGACAGTTTGAAGAGTTTTGACAGATATTTACACCTATATAACCACCATTATAGTCAAGATATAGAATGTTTCCATTGCTGCAAAAAGTTCCCTTTTGCCCCTTTGCAGTATTCCTCCCCTACCCTGGCTCCAGACAACCACTGATCTGTTTTCTGTTATTTCAACAGATTAGTGTTGGCAGCTGGGTTCTAAATACAGTGCGGGCAGATCAAAGCTGGGGGACAGATCTCACCTTGGCACAGGGAGAAGAGGCACAGGCTTGAGATCTTTGCTATGTAATCTCGTTATATGACTCAAGTTGAAAAAGGTGTTCTTGTCTACACGTTTTTCTTTGAGCTCACAGGTTTCTAGTACTTGCTCAGTTAACCTCCTGATGTACTTTTTTTTTTTTTGAGGAAGATTAGCCCTGAGTAACTGCTGCCAATCCTCCTCTTTTTGCTGAGGAAGGCTGGCCCTGAGCTAACATCCATGCCCATCTTCTTCTACTTTATATGTGGGATGGCTACCACAGCATGGCTTGTCAAGCGGTGCCATGTCTGCACCCGGGATCCGAACCGGAGAACCCTGGGCCACAGAAGCGGAACGTGAGCACTGAACGGCTGAAGCCACCGGGCCGGCCCCCTGATGTACTTTTCAATGGGAAATTCTTCCCAACTGTTAAAAATGGCTGAAGAGAATAATTTTTCATTTATCCTAAGGAGTCCTTTGCTCTAGGTTTTTAGTGATAACGCCTAGGTTAGTAAGTCTGTGTTCTCTGCCCATAGAATATCCCTAAGTACAAATTTTTGTCTTTTTCTTCACGTCTTTCTTGTTGACATTTTCTTACTTGTTATGCAATGGATTGTTGAAAAGTGCTGAGAAAGTTAGGACACCCCAGCTTTCCAGTCTTTGGTGCCCCTATATTGTGGGGAACATTGCCCTGGCTTTTTATCCTGTCCTTTGGTTTGAACTCAGTCCTGACAGCGAAAACATTTTTCTAATTGAAGGTGAATCCAGTTTTTTCCTATCTGGGGGTCTGCTAAAGTTTCTAGCAGTCCAAGTAGCTGTAGATGCCATCCTAGTAAGAGAAATGGCAAGAAATCCAGTCCCCAGGAACCAACCTAGTAGCAGTGAGCACCCCAGCACTCAGATTTGTGGTCTCTTCATACCAATTCCCACTAAAAAGAATGAGAGCTTCTTGGGGAAATGGCTGATGCCAGGTCTGAGGCAGGAAATGTATAAGACTGGAACTTCCCAGAAAAGCAAGGAACGTATCAAAAACTTCTGGGTTCCTGTAAAAGGACTCAGGAGCCAACTTGAATTTGCTCTGACTGGACAAAGATGGGTCGAGTGGAGCACCAATAGGATGTACAACTTCAGTGTATGGACACAGAGCGAATATGTTTGAATCTATAAGTTTATAATGATACTTTAAAAAGAGAGAGAAAAAAATCCAGTGACTAAAATCCGTCCTTTCTCTGGTAATTATTAGTGATTCAGGGTCACAGTTAACAGGGAGCTGTAAAGAATTAGGCCTAGTCCAGAAGAGAAGTGTGTTCCATGCCAGTAGCTCTGCCCTGCCTGAGGCCCATTAAACAGCTGCTCTGAGACGCTTTCCTGTCTTGCTCATGTGTGTCGTCTGATTAAAGGGGAGCTGCAGTGCTCCTGTGTCTCCTCTCACCGTGTTAGAAGGTTTTACATATAATGTGGGATTTAATTCTTATATTAGCTCTAAATTCTTAAATTATATGAGTAATGCATGCTTGTTGATAAAAACTTAAATATGGACTAATATAGAATACTCCCTGTTCCATATCCTTATTTTTAGATGAGAAAACAGAAAGGTTTCAGTTACTTTTTTCAAGGGCACTGCTAGTTAGCTGTAGATTGGAGGCTTGAACCATGATACTCCAAGATACCTGTTTTTGAGGTGGCTAGAGTAATTCTTGTTCTTTTTCTCTTTAGATAATCATGATGTCATTTCCCTGAAGTTGTTTGAGCTGACAGTAGAGAGAACCCCAGAAGAGGAGAGGCTGCATCGAGATGTGTTTTTGCCCTCAGTGGACAACATGAAGCTGCCTGAGAGTGAGCACGGGGGATCTTGGGAAATGGTCCCATGGTCAGAGAGGAGGTCGTAGTGCTATGGGAGGTCTGAGGTAACTTGCACCCACAGCTTGTAGGGCTGTCTCCTTTCCGTGTTCTTCCTCTAAAGAGTGTGGAGCACTTACACCTGCTTTTTCACTTGTCTCCATGTTACAGATGAGCAGTAGGAGCGCAGCTTAGTTTTTAAATTGAGACTCCTGGAAAGGGAGAGTCTAAGCTCTGGCTCCCAGAAAGGGGTGTCAGAAATTGGGGATTTGAGAGCTTGTTGGTTGGGCCTTCCCAAGTGGGTGGGCTCCTTGATTTTGACTTGCTTCTCTCTTGCTTCCTCAGTGACAGCCCCACTGCCGCCCCTAAGTGGCCTCGCCCTCTTCCTCATCGTCTTTTTCTCTCTGGTGTTTTCCGTATTTGCCATTGTCATTGGTATCATACTCTACAACAAATGGCAGGAACAGAGCCGAAAGCGTTTCTACTGATCCCTCCTACTACCACCTCCTCTGTGGCAGTCCCCCATGAGGTGTGGGAGGAGCAGGTGCTGGCCTGAACACATAGCCCAGCGGGTCTTCTCCAGTCTCCAACAGCTGGTCAGGGACTCTGTTCTGTCACTGGAGCTTTGAATGCAGGGACACTGCTTCCCATGGTCAAGCATGGGGACATCTAACTCTGGTTCAGGAAGCCCACCCACCCCAGGGCAATGCTGCTGTGATGTGCCTTTCCCTGCAGTCCTTCCACTTGGGAGCTAAGAGGGATGGAGAGAATATATGCTGTTATGATGTCAGAATCACAGAAGAATATTTCATAGCCCAGGCTGCCTTGTTGTTGGACTCAGAGGACCCTTGTACTTCATTTTTAAATCTGCGAAGAATAGAAAACTGATAAGTCCTCCTACCTTCTGGCCGTCCATTTCACTGGTTTTTGCTTTTTGTCTAAGCCTCTGTTCACATGAGGAGCTTTCCTTGGAAATCTGGATGGAAACTTTTTCCCTACCTTGCCTTCCTCTCCTTCCATTCATTGTCCTCTCTAAATGCAACCTGAGCTGGAAAAGACATTCGGATGCCTCTCTGTTGGGGCCTGGGGCTGCAGAACAAACTTAGGTTTCACTAACCCTCATTAGGTGGCCATAGGGAGAGGGTTTCTGCTTTGGGTCGCTGCTCTAGCCTTGGTTCTTCAGCATGGATCTTGGTTTTATTGGTGTGTTCATGACCTTCCCAGTTAGGTCTCTTTAGTCCTCGGTCAAGTTTGCTTGAAAGTTGGTGTGCAAGTCAAGAGAAGCTTGGAAGACTTCATGGATGCAATGGGATTAACTGTGAGACTGACCAACTCCACATTTTGACCTTGAAAGCAACATTTGCCATGTGATCTGTCCACGGGGAGATGTTTCTGGACTCTCTGGAGCCTGCTTAGCTGCATGTTTTGTGTTTATCATGATTTTTGGAATTCCACTTTGAATGTTCAAAATGTAAAGAAGCTTTCTTCTCATAGCCTCAGCTTGGATACTCCCCAAAGAAGAAATTTGGCTTCTTCTTCTTAATGGATAACAAACAGTTGCTGTTCTCGTGTTCCAAATCTGGGAGCAATAGACCCTTGTCTTCTGTGCCTGGAAGAGTTCGTTGTCATTGAGCGACAGAGCCTGAGTGTCATCCTCTGTGGGTCAACACTTATTCCACTGCCTTATCTGACAAGGGGCCATGTGCTGCTCACCTGTCTGGCCAGTGATTAAATTGGCTGACAGGCCAGAGCCTCCTTGGAGGGCCTGGAACTCGGAGCTTTCCTAGCCCTGTACTTCTGTATTCTTAAAGTGGTGGAAACCAAACATGAACTTCTGACTCAGTGTCCTTCCTTCTATGGGTGGGTTTGGGGGAAGGTCCAAGCCTTTTTCCTGAACCTCAAGCCCTTCAACCCTTGCCCTGCCTGCTCCTGCGTTGGGAAAGCCCTCAGCCCAGAAGGAAAGGACAGTCACCTTGGCTGGGTATGGGTTTCGTCATCTGGGACTTTTTTATATCCTTCCCACGTGCTTAATTAAGCATCATGGGCTGTAGTGCTCTCCTACAGGTGGGATTAAAATGGGATCTTCCTAACACCCCCGTGACAGCAGAGCAGCTCCAGAGTGCCAGAGGACAAATTGTGACCTAGAGCTTGGCCTTAGGACCTGGGAGAACTGAAAAAGCAAATGGCTGTTTTGTCTTTTTTGAGTTTAGGGGCAGATTGGATGGAGCCCTGTGATGGGAGGCCCTAGGTGGGCTCTTGAGATGGCCCAGGTGCTGCAGGAGGAGGGGATCTCATCATGGGGGAGGGAGTGTATGAGAGAGAGAGAACTTGTGGGTTTTGTATGATTCCAGCTCAGGAGCTCCTTGAGGCTTTTTAAAGAGGTGGGGAAGACAGAAGTGCGGTTCCAGTTTCCACTCCGCTTGGGGCTCACCTTAGAGAAATGTGTGGTGCAAGGAAACTGGCTGACCTTGCATGATGTGTCCTGCCCTAGCTCTTGTTTTCTGTTGTAGAAACAAATGTTTCCCATCTGAATGGGGCCGAATATTGTTCTGGATACTGTAATCGCAGGTGTGCCCTAGAGGAGGGAGATGCCTGATCCATGGCATGGCTCTTTTGTGTGTGCACACTAGCAGGGAGAGAAGTGGCCTCGGCAAGCTGCTTACCCCACGTAACCCATTTCTTTCCTCATAGTCACCCTTTCCCTCTGTTTTCCTCTGACTTCGGAGTCTTTTAGAGTAGAAGAGACCCTGAAAACTAGAGGGTGTATAAAGATGACATTGTTCTCTGTCCTTGTGAGTCTTGTTTGAAAGGCTGGCGTTTTCAGCCTTTCATATTGTCTTTAACCCCCCACATTACAAGATGGCTCTCTGTTACAAAACTTGTTTATTTCTGTGGAAAATTACAACTCTGCCCTTCTTGTTGGAAGTGGTTTCTGAACACGATAGCCAGGCTATCCCTAGCCCCTTGCACATGTCCTAGAGGAGAGAAACAAGAAACTGGTAGGAAGCCCAAGGGTAGGGCTGGTGGTGGTCAGGAGAAATCCAGGCAAACGTGAGTGAATCAGTCCTGTGGGACTGGAAGTTCTGGAAAAATATCTTGCAGGTGATTCATGGGTCCCTGAAGGAGTTTCAACTCATTCATAGGCTTTAGGTTCGGATGCTGGGTGGTGAGGATGGAAGAGTTGGCATTGCTGGTGTTTGATGAACTGATGATATTGGCGTATATTTTAATGGGAGCATTCAGCCGAAGTTCAGGTTTGATCCAGCTCATGGCCAAATAGTTCTAGAGATAACAGGCAACAGTTAGCCTGAGGTAGCAACCTGAAGACTCTCTCTTCAGAGTCATCCCAAGAGCAACCAGTGCCTTTTTCCCTGTCCCCAGTGGTGTCACTCACCGGAGCTGAATAGATAAAGTTGAACAGCAGAAGCCCTATAATCACTATCATTAAGAAGATTATCATTTTGAAGCGGTAGCGTTTCCAGAAAATATGGAAGATATTTTGAAGAGGTGACCGAAACCATAAGAACCACTTTTCGTTGCGTCTGTCCATGAGCAGAGGAAATGTCAGAGAATGGAGGGCAGAGGGAATTTTCAGGTCAAGTAATCCAGAGCAAAGAGCTTTCTTTTTGAAAAGCAACTTCTTTTTACCCCCGCCCCAAGTTCTCTGCTGACTGTAACTGAGCATTGAGCTGGGGTGGTGGGAAGTCATTCTCTCTCCCCACTTAGAGGCCCACTGGTCACCACCCCATGCAAACTACTGGGCCCAGCAGCTCGGCTTGGTGAACAGGGGAGAAAGATTTGGTGCCTTTGCCCCACAGGACCCTTACAGGGGAGGATGAAGTGTAGGGTATTGGTTGGGTTCTGACTGGCCTCGTCCTGCTGGCCTGATTAAGGCTTCCTTCTCGGACAGAATCTCCAGAGTCATCTTCACTTTACCCTAGAAACACCGTAGGTGGTGGGAGGCTGCATTCAGATAGCAGGAGCAAGAATAGTTTTAAGGCCTCTTCCCAGGATCCAGAAAGGAAAAGAGATTTAGCTAAAACTCCCAGAAGTCTGTTAGAGCCAAGTTATGTGGCATAGCAGTCCTATGCAATAGACACCTTCCCCAGCTCCTACCGACAAGCGCCATTTGCCACCATCGAGGACTTGGCAAGGCCACCAGCCGGTTACAGTCTTCTTCTTAAAAAGGGAGAAGCGCTTGTGTTGGAGGAGGTATGGCCACTTGGGGTCAGCATCCATCATCCTGATGGAGCATAGATTGGCGTGCCGAGCTGGGAAGGGCATGTCAGACAAATCCAGCTCCAGGACCCCTGAGCCCAGAGAAATGCCATTAGCACCAAGGAACTCCCTGCCTTCTGGTCCCAGGCCTCATGCCAGGAACTTACCCAGAAAGTCATCACTGGTGAAGATGTCATTGTCCCAGACCTGGATGATGAGCCGTGCTGGGAACTTCATCACTGTGGGGTCCAGGCTCCATATGTAGTCCTGGAGGAATGGCAGAAGAGCATATTACTGGCCTGCCTCCTTTGAGATTTTCCTTGGCCACCTCAGTAGCCCACTACCCAGCAGTGATGGACTGTCAAGAAAGAGGATTTCTGCCAGAGGCCACATTCTAAGTGTTCTAGTGCAACTTACAGGTTTCCAAAGGGAGAGGAGGAGCATGCCTCGCTCCCAGGCCTGTTACCTTCTGGCTCAGGACGCACACGTGCTCTGCCATCAGGTAGTCCAAGGTGAAGATGAACCGCCAGTTGAAGTTGCCCTCCCCAGTCACGGAGTAGTAGTGGATATCTGTCTTCTGCATGTCCTTCTCTAGCCCGAATAACCACCTGGGGCCAAAGTCCTTTCACCTGAGGTTCATGTTTGTATTGTCCCCATCCCCGAGCTGGCATAGGTGGAAGTGGAGAGATGTCACCCCAGGATTAGGAGGACCCACAGGAATGACAGAACTGGGGAACTCTGAGGGAACTCGACTGGAGCCCTGTTCTTCTTCCTCACCCTTTGACATAGATGTCGCTCAGGTTTTCGGGACTGAAAGTGCTGTCCTTCAGGTCCACCTGGGCAGTTTTCCAGATGATGCAGCGCAGCTCATACCTGCAGCCACTGTGCTCTGAGGCTCTGCTGAGGATAGCTCCCCAGCCACAGCCTTGGTGAGGGGAGAGAGCCTGGGAGGCTGCCCTCCGTGCCCACGCAAGTCATCCTGCATTTGAGGGAATTCTAGGGAGGGAAGCTCCTGACACTCCCAGAGAGGCAAGTTATCACTGCCACTCAGCATGTGAGCGCATGGTGCTCTGCACCTTGGGAAGGCTGCGCCACGAACTGCAGTGAGTGGGAAATGGATTGTCACTCACCGTTTAGGTGTCCTGGGCTTGATGTCGACTGGGGGGCCAGGAGGCCCAAGCTCCGTGGGGAAGATGTCCACCCACATTTGCACCTTTCCCTAGAGTAGAGATGGACTAGCTAGCTGGGCTCTGCTAGCCTCTGTTCTCAGCATGCTGGCCTGGGGAGCCCTGTCCCAGGTTCTGAGGTCTATTGAGGCTGTGTTCCCAATGCTGGGGGTGAAGTATAGAGGTATCTGTGAGGTGGAATGGACTTCAGACAGGACATCAGCAACCACCCACCAGCTTCCTCGTTTTTCTTTTTTTGGCTGGGAGAACATTGCAGTAAGCTTGGTAGTGTAGGATGGCCATGGTGCTGGGATATCACTCGTGACTAGGGTCTGGAGGGTTAATGCCATTTAGCAGGTCATGCCAGACAGCCTTTCTGGATGGGGCTCCAGAATGGGACTGGAGTTTCATTTATTAATCAGCTTAGTGGCCCGTGAGTCAGAGTAAACTGGATGATCAGTCCACATTTCCAGGTCACTTTTATGTTATGTAACCACAGCCTAAGGATATGAAGCTATCCACAAAGCACAGAGATCTAAGAAAGAAGGGATGAAAATGGTGAGAAAAAGGGAGGAAAAAGTAAAAGGGTAGAACTACCAACATTGGAAGATAAATATATTCTTTCAAACTTTCTGACCTAATCTTATTCTTTTGAAGTTGACCCCATTTGAGAAAACAGCTTTAATGAGAATGGTTTTTTAAAAGCTCAGCAGAGAACTTTGTATCTAGAATGTGGTATCAGTTTGAGAAATTTGGAGAATGAGATGAGCCATTCTGGTGGCTGGAAGGTAGATGATAATTAGGGTGCCTGTGGGGATTTTCATTCCTCTTGTTTGGGTTCCTTGCCATGGAGAAAACAGCCTGCAATTAACAGCCATGCCAGGATTGTAATGTCTGCAGGTCTGACCCCAGGTGTGGCCTCCCCACCTGCCCTGAAGAGAGGCTAAGGCAGTGTTGGCATTGGCTGGAGGGCGCCTTAGCACTTGCTACAGCTGACGCATGGCTTCCATTTCTGGTAGCTGACTTTTCCAGCTCTGAATTTCTTCATTCTGCATGCCCTCACTGGAACTTCTTGCTGATTAACATGTGCAGAACATGCTGGTCTTCTGTGCATATACATCTGTGAATCCTTGGCCTCCCCTTCTCCTCTCATCATGTGCCATTGTCCTGCATGGATGGACGCCCCTATCTCCTGATCCAGCCCCTCCAGCCTCATACCTGGTCGATGCCTGGCTGGCTGTCAGTGTACAGTGTGCGGGTCTCCACGTGCTCAGGTACTAGCCCCTGGGTGTGCAGGAGGTACAGTGCAAGGCGTTCTTTCTTAGGTCCCAAATAATGAGCAGTAGGGGGCTTGGGCTCTGGATTGGAGGGGGATGGAAGGAGGGGATCACAAGGTCATCAGCCTTCCCCTCTCCCATGTAGGCCCTCCACCTTCCCCGCCCCCAGCTGGGACAGTGGATATGGTCACCCTCTACAGGAGAAAAAGGGAAGGGGGTTGTCCTCTGGCAGCTCTGCCATGCTGGAGCCTCCCTGGTTTCAGAGGCCTGGCTCCATGCTTTCTGGCAGTGTGCTTTGCTTCTCACCAAAGCTTTGCAGTTTGAATTTTTTCCCATTGTAAAAAACCGAGTCATCCTCAGTGTTGAACAGCGGTGGAGGCAGTCCTTTCCGCTTGGCATGGCGTTCCAAGAGGAAGCTTGGGGGCATCTGATCCCGCCACCTGAAGGGCCCTGACCTGTGGGGACATGTGAGAGGGAAAGGGAGGAAGGTTTGGGTCCGGGAGAACACTCTGCTTGGAGCTGCAGGATGACCAGTGGTGGGAGCATGGGTGGAGACGGGTTCAGGCCCTGGTTCCCTGACCCAGGAGGCAAGCCTCCTCGAGGGAGCTGTGGGCTCAGTCCTCCCCGCTCCCCTACTCCTTCGCCCTGGTTCAGGCCTCTCACGGGCAATATGATTTGGAGAGCCCACAACAAGCCCCAAAGCCAGACAGGAGTCGGTTTTCAAGGTCGATGATTGTGGCTCCAATCTTATCATCAGGTGAAAGTAGGTCAAAGTCATATAGCTGGATCTCCAGGTCCTTCTCCAGGGGGATGGTGCAGCTTAGTTCAAACATCCTAGGGGTGAGGGTGCAGACTGCAGAAACCGTGGACTGTGTTATCTACGTGCCTCCCTCTCCAGCATCTTGGCCCCCTGGGCCCGTGCTCCATCCCCTTGTTTGGTCATGGTGAATATGGAGAGCAGAGCCTGGGATGGCTGTTGTTTGCCAATAGCCATCCCCTAGTTATGGCTGGAAATAACTGTTGATGGGATGTGGGTGTGGGACTCTGAGCTCCCTTCCCAGGCAAAGCATGTGAGAGGGAGGGTAGAACTGGAGTGCCCATTCATTCATCTTCTGTCTGTTGTCCACCTAGAGTGTGTAAGCCCCTATGCCAGGGACTGGAGGCTGGAAAGGAATGCACGGGTTCTTTGCTTTCTGGAGCTTACTGCCAGCACCGTGCAGATGGGAGTGGAGAAGTGGGCCTGGGTGAGTTGGGGCAGCTCACGTGCCAAAGATGGGATCCAAGGTGTTGGGCTGGTACTTGTCTCGGTTGCCACACGTTGTCTTTCCCAGTTTTAGGATCACATAAGGGTCACACTGGGGGTCAGACGTAAGTGAGGGAAGGACAGGAAATGGAGAGTCAATTCAGGTTTGTCAGGGAGTGGGGAGTGGGGAGCCCCTTGCACCAGATGGAGCCTGTGGGGAGTTGGCAGTCTGGGCGTCAGCAGACTGAGGGAGCTCCAGGACACTGGGGTATAGGACAAGGTGTGGGAGGTCCCTGGGCTGGGTGGGGCCCGGGAAGGTGAGCACTGCGGGTTTGGGGCTGCTCATTACCAGGCCATTAAGGTCTTGGGGCTGCAGGTTGATGGCTCGCACCACGTACACTCGCACCAAGCACTGCTGAGGGAAGTCCTCCTTCTGAGGCCAAACCATGAACTGGCGGGGGGGCTTGGGCGCTTCTGGATTCTCAGGAAAGGGGTAGACACGGAAAAGGCCCTGTGTGTGTTGGGGAAAGAAGGTGTTGACAGCCTAGTCTGGCAGTGCTGGCCTGGCTCTGAGAGCCTCCGGGAGGTACCCCTGGCCCCAGTTCAGGGAGAGTGAGTTGTGTCGATGCTGCAGGGGCGGAACGCAGAAGGATGGGTGGAGGAGGTGCAGCAGAGATGCTCAACAGGAGCTCCCATGTTTAGGAGGGGTGTTGGGCATTAGACAAGTGCCCAGTTTCTGCTGATGTGAACTCTCATTCCACCCCATCTGTCCTCAGGCTTGTGCTTGTTCTTGAAGGCTCTCAGGCCTGGGGAGGCCAGCATAGGCCAGAGCTGGGGGTGAGTGGGCCTCGCCCTCTCCTGTGTAAGAGGAGGTCACCCTGAATCCCTGTGTAGGTCGATCTCTGCTCCTCCACTCCCAAAACTGGTTCTCAAGCCATCCCTACCCCATCCTCGCAATGAGCATATGGAACCAGGGCTTTTAGTAGAGTCTTCTGGGGACGGAGGGGCACAAGGAGACAGGGGCAGCTAAGCTGGGATAGATACGCACCTTGAACTCCCCCACCACAGGGCTGTCCAACTTGGGCTGTTCCTGGTAGAGTTTGAAGGTCTGGCAGAAGTCCTGCAGGCCTTGGAATTCTGGCACAGCCTCCAGCTCGCAGTCATACACCTGCAGGAGGGCGCGTGGGGCCCAGGGTTATGGGGAGAGTAGGCCTGGGCTTGACCAGAGGGGGAACATTCCTGGGATCAGGGGATTGAGAGACCACCAGCTCCCAGGTCTTGCCCCAACACATCTGCCCAGTCAGCAGGCCCAGGGTGAGCACTGTCTGCTGCAGACGGGGCGGCCCTGGTTCCCACAAGCGCGCTGCTGGTGGAGGTGTGGCCTGGAGTCTTGCAGAGACAATAAGGAAACTCCTCCACTTGGTGGTTCCCAGAGGAATCAGGGCTGGGTCTGCTGGCCTCTCCCAGCAGATTTTATTCCATCTCTCTCAGCAATCTCTCCTCCTAGGGGCCTCCAAACCTTCAGGGTATGGTAGTCTTTGTACTTGTACTTGAGGGGCTGCTGAAGATCGCCTGTGGCCCAGAACAGCTTGCTCCACCAATCCACTTCATGCTCGTATTCATCCTGGCAGGGAAGAGGGTCATTCTGGCCCTCGGGGGGAAAGACACACTGGCCTTTCTCTGCCCAGGGTCATGCTGCTCCCACCTCCCTGAGCTGCCTGGAGTTGTTCCTTGTTCCCTGGGGCTGAGCCTATATCACCTCAGCTTTGCTGGACTTGAACCAGAACTTTCCATAGAGGTAACCTAGGAGCTGAAAAATGAGAGCAGTGAGCAGGGTGAGGCCTGGCGGCCTGCAGCCCACTCATGTCTCCGACTCGGAGAAGAGTGGGGGTCGAGGCGGGCCTGCTTCCCTGGCCCCTGCCCTTCACACAGGCCTTTTAGTTCAGGAATCTTGAGATGTAGGATTTGGGGCAGGAAGGAGGGTAAGCACAGCTCTTAGTTCTCATTGCCCACAGCTTCAGACTGAACTCTGGAAGGCTCAGAAGTGCAGAAGCTCAAGCCCCACTCTCCAGGCCTACTGAATCAGGATTGGCTTTTGCTCAACGTGTCCCGAGGATTCCTCTCCATTCAAGTGTGACAAGTGCTGTTCTAGAGCAGTAGTTTGAACCTTGCAAAGATCAGAATCAACTAGGGAGGGTGGGGGGGGGGGCCTTAAAAAATGCTGATGCCTGGGTCCTACCCCCAGCAGTTCTGAAGGAATTGGTTAGAGGTCTGGCTATCTGGATTTTTTAAACTCTTGGGCAGTTCTAGTGTGCAGTCCAGTTGAGAATCACTGCTTTAGAGTTCCCGTGTTCAGTTAGGGCTCACACCGGGACACATATCAGAGCTATGTTTAATCTACACCCCTCCTCAGGGACAAGCGTTGTTCCCTGTGAATCGTGTCGAGGAAGGTGGGACCTCGTGCCCTTTACTCACCTCCTGGTACTTCTTCACAGTCAGAACTGTGTGGAGAAAGTGCAATCATGAGTCTCAAGAGAAGGGAGGAGGGTGAGGAGGAGGGTTGCCAACCCCACAGGCAGCGAGGGCCCCGGGTACTCCCCGTGCCAGCCTGTTGGTGAGGCCTGGGGAAGGGCAAGGAGGAGGGGCCGTACTTGGACGTCGTGGAGGCATGTAGTCCTCAGCCCAGGGGTCACAGAAGTAGGGCTGTAGGGAGTCGATGCTGGCCTGACCCACCACGGTCTGCTGGCCGAAGTCCCAGTTGTCCACCACCTTCAACATGAGGGGCAGTGCGTAGGCCTCCTCTGTAGGCATGAACTGCAGCCCCAAGGAGAGGCCGGAGGGTGAGGCTTCCCGGGAGGAGAGGGCCGCCCAGCCCTTGCCCGAGGCCTTCTTACCAGCGTGAGGAAGAGGACGGACTCAGTGAAGTTGGGGTTGGTCTGGAAGCCCCTGATGGGTTCTGTCTGCAGGGACTCTTCCCAGCATTCCACCAGGAGCTGGGGCGCACGCACCTGCTTCATGTTCCGAAGGCCCCAGACCAGGATCTGCCAGAACAGAGAAGGGGCGAGGGGCAGGCAGTTCCTGCGTCACGGGGTCCTGGCCAGAGAGAGGGGGCTGTCCTGGGAGGGATGGTGCATCCGGGAGCACACAGGGCCAGGGCATGTGGCTGGGTGAAGTCAGAGTCTGAAGACTCCCGCAGGTCACCTGTCCTGTGGGATCAGTGCTTGTCCTCAGGGCCTGGCTGCTGTCCTCGCTCCTCCATGAGGGAGGTGCCCTCCGGTCCCTGTAACTGTAGCCTTCACTGACCTCCAGTGCCCCTTAGGTATGGCCCTTCCTCACTGGCTGTCTTATTTGGCCTCTAATCGGTTCTCAGGAGTGAGTTACTGAGGCTGGCTGCCTTGGAGGCACACAGAGTAGGGAATGCCTCAGATTTCTCAGGCATCCCTTAGGCCATCTAGCTCATTGCTGACTTGTATCCCATAGATCTCCATGGCCATTCAGTGACCCAGTACCCTATGACCTTGCTCTAACTGACAGACACTGGGCACCCCAGGAAGTGTCCACGTCCTTACTCATGAGGGCCTCCTCAGGGGCCCAGAGCAGGCGTCCCTGATCTTGGGAAAGCCTCCAGTGCCAGGACCACTTGCCCATCTTTTGCTCTTTGGCAGGTTTGTGGCAGGGCACAAAGATTCCAACATGGGGACCTCCATGCTACGGTCAAAAGATAGATGAAAAACAGCCCGGCATTTGGAGTCAGGCAGGGCTGAGCCCAAATCCTGGCTCTGCCACTTAGCCCCTGAGTCACTGTGCATGGAATACATCGTCTCTCAGAGCCTCCATTTCTTTCTCTGAAAAGTAGTCCCCGCTGCAGAGGGGCAGCCTGAAGCTCGGCTGCCAGGAGAGCTGAAGCCCTTGTCGCCTACCTACTGCAGAGATGCACGTTAAAGTAATTTACAACGTTCTCTCAGAGCTTCTGCTCTTCCTTTCTCTCCCGTCTCCCTCCAGCTCTCAGAGAGTATCTCCTTAGGGTCCAAGCTTTGGGTCAGGCGGTCAGGAAGGCCCAAGGAGGATCAGCAGAGAGAGCTCCATGGTGCTCGCTTGCCCTGGCTGCTGCCTGCACCCTGCCGGCCCTCCCTGCCCCACACCATCTTCACCTCAATAGCCATTTTCTTTAGCGTGGGTTCAATGCTCTTGGGGAGTGTGTAGACCCCATTCTTCCAGGGAACGCTTAAGATTGGCATCCTCTCTCTGAGACTCTGAAGGGATGAAGTGGGAGAGCAGAGAGCATGAGGCCCCATTGGGCCAGTCCTACTGTCCCCTACCCCCAACTCAAGCAGGTCCCTAAGAGGGCTCAACTGAGGAGGCCCCAGAGCCCCAGGGGCAGAAGCTGATGGGGGATTTAGGGGTGAGGTTGGGCAGGCCCACATCACCAAGCCCAGTGTTCTTGTTCCCAGGCCCCAGCTTTTCCTGAGGAGGTGGAGTTGGGGACCGCTGGCTATAGGAACGTGGGATAGGGTGGGAGCACTGAACACCACACTCCCAGCCAGCCCTTCTCTCCCGATACCTCAGTCTCGAGGATCAGCTCACAGGATGCCAAGATCTCACCCTCTTCATTCCCCAACTCTTTCACAAGGGGATGCCACCTCATGGGGGGCAGGATCCGGTTTTGTACATCCAGCCAGACCACCGGGGACCACATGGTCCGTCCCCACAAGCTCTCCTTGCCCTGAAGTGGGGGGGAAGTTCACAAAACAGGGAGGCCAAGCTGGCAGGGTTCTGGCTCCTCCCCTGGGATTCTGACAGCTTCAGGATAAGGGCTGACGTCTGTCTACATGATGCACTCTGCGAATCAGGCCCCACTAGAGCACTTTCTGTATATTCTCCTCTAGAGTGAAAGCCCTGCAATGCTGCCCAGCCCAGCTTGCCTTACCTGGGAGCTCCGCTGCCACAGTTCCAACATAACGAGTGGTGGGCTCTCTTTGGTGTCCTGGGGGTTTTCATACAGAAAGAGGTGCTGGAAGATGAGTGTCTGTGCCCATGTGGGAGCTGCAGAGCTCCTAAGGGTTTGTGTGCACTGGCTGTGGTTCAAGAAGATGAGCCGAATGAAGGGCCCTGGAGGGTGGAAGGAGAGGAGAGAGTCATGCCTTTGAACTGTCAAGTGAGGCTCTCTTCATCTCTGGCTGCTGCCGCCACTGGGCCAGGGAGGCCCATGGTGGGCAGCCACAGCCACTGCCAGCTGCCCAGAAGGCTACCTCAGTGTAAGCCGCAGAGCAAATGGGCATTTAACCAGTGGCCAAGGATCATTTGGTTCTATCCATGTCTATTTTACACTACCATGGTCGAGGCCCGGGTGTTACAGAGATAGAGGGCCTGGTGGCTTCTCTGAAGGAGTTCTGCGGACCAGGCTACATGTGGTTGTCTTTCCACAGCATCAGAGAGTGGCCTTGGCATCAGGGAACATCATGTGTCTGTCTCAGTATGGGTGCTGATGCCCAATGGACACAGCTTTCAGTAGACACCCGCTGCCCTGGCTTCCAGCAACCTGGTTCCTTACAAAAAATGTGACTGACAGGGCAGGAGCGTGCATGTGACTCACCTGAAGCCTTTGGCAGGTCCTCCTCTGCACAGGGCCAGAAATTGCTACCCCTCCTCCCCACCCCTCACCTTCTGTCCAACACAAGGAACAAGTGGTTCCCAATGTGTCACCCTCTCTCTTGTCTTCATGTCTCCTCAGTACTCTGCCAGAAAACTCCTCTTCCCTCTTCAAGGCCCAGCTAAGTGGTCCCCTAGGGGAGAAGCCTCCCCAACACCCCCATCTTGATTCCACAGCACTGGGGACACATCTCAAGAGCAGCCCTACCTTATATTCCTTGTTTTTGTGTCTTTTCCCCAAACCAGGGCCATGAGCTGCTGGGGAGTGGTCTGCAAGCTTGTCACCCACTTGCTTGCCACATTTTTTTTTTTGGAAGATTGGCCCTGAGCTAACATCTGTGCCCATCTTCCTCTATTTTATATGTGGGATGCCTGCCACAGCATGGCTTGATAAGTGGTGCATAGGTCTGCACCCAGGATCTGAACTGGTGAACCCTGGGCTGCCGAAGCGGAGCGTGCGAACGTAACTGCTATGCCACTGGGCCGGCCCCTGCCACATTCTTCATATTGCCAGGTGGCCACATCATGGGGCCCCTGGGCAGCTGGGAGAGAAGGGGTCCCTGCCACCTACCCTGGAAGGAATGGATCTGGTTGGACATCAGGTTCCGGGCCTGGTAGATGTAGCAGAAAAGCTGGTAGTAGTGGGGCTCTGGGTAAGAGAGAAGTCACGTCTGTCACCTGCCCCCAGGATTCCCTCCCTCGCCCTCCCACCTCCTTGCCCTCAGAGACAGGGCCTCTGGGGCCACCCAAGCAGACTCTCAATTAAGTGCTCACTGTCAAAGATGCAGTAGATGAAGGGGAGGTTGGGTAGCTGGATGTCCTCTGGGGCAGGCCTCCAGGCGTCCCCGAGCCTTTTGCTCAGACTCCGTGATGGCGCCCTGTCCACTTCTTTCTCAGTCTGCTCTTTCAGATCCATAGCCTGTGCCCCAGACAGTCTCCCCTGAGGCTGTTGGGGGCTTTTCCAGTCTCCTCTAGCCCAGGCCCAGGTCACCCTTCTCCCCTTATGGGCTCCACCCTCCAAAGCCTGAGGATGTGGATCTGGGACCCAGACTCCCCCACTCCCTGGAAGTCCATGCCCCAACCTGGGGCATCTCTGGCTGGCTGCCACCCCCAGGGTGGGCCCTGGCTCTGGGAGGTAGGCTTACAGGGAGGAGTCACCTAGCCCACTGAGGCTTTACCAAGGATCCCTCCAGACAGAATATGGGTGCAATGCCCTTGTCCTTGTCGGGGGCCAGCCTGCGGTGCCAGCAGCGGCGGCGGAACTGGCTCTGGGGCTGAGGGTTCAGGTGGAACTTGGAGCCAAAGGTGCCATATTCCCAGCCCTGCTCCTTCTCATCCAGGCTAGGGTGGTGCTGCAGGGGGAGAGCAGAGTCACCCGTCTGCCACACACATGGTGGACCCTGTCTGTGGCCCCACCAGGTCCCGGCAGGCGGCCCCCTCACCAGCTGCAGGAAGGATAGGGTCTCCTGCTCGTGGCTCAGCTCCCCGTGGTTCCGGTAGCGCACGCGTGCCCAGCGCCGCCGGCGGTGCGAATAGTAGGTCTTCTCCACCGAGTTCCAGACCCGGGGCAGGCCCGATGGCTGGATCCCCACTCCGTACTCCCAACCTGCAGGGGCAGGACCACGGCCAGGGGTTGCCCAGGTGCCCACAGGCTGTGAGGCTTGGACAGGCCTGAGAGATGGGCCCCAGAAGAGAACGCTAAAGAGGCAGTGCTTTCCCTCATGTCCAGGTCTCTCTGGCCCTGGAAGGTGCCAGAGAGGAACCTTCCTTCCACAAAGGAAGGTGTGGTCGCACTGGGTCACCTGGGCCCAACTGCCCATCGTATAAATGAAGAAGGTGAGGCTCAAAGATGTCCTGTGACCTGCACAATGTCACACAGCCCATAAGTAGCAGAGTCTGCATCTTGAACCCAGGTCTTCAGACTTCCACCCCATTGTTCCTCCCTGGAGCTACCTTAAGTGAACCCAGGCTCCATGACCAGGTTCAAGTGCTCGGGAGGCACTTACAACCTGCCTGTCTCAAAACGGAGGCCCACATCTGCAGAAAGGGTGGAGGCCCCACTCTCTGGAGGCTGGGGAATCCCCAGGAATTCAGGCCCATCCCACCCGAGAGCTCAGCTGCATTCAGGCTGTGGGAAGTCTCGGACCTTGGCAGCCCCAGGCCCTCCTGGCCTCCGCCCGTGACCAGAGGACTGACCCTCATTGTCCACTGCGTGGTTCAGCTCCACAGTCCAGTTCTTCTTAATGTACCAGCCTTGGGGGCACTTCATACTCTCCCGGGCCTCCACGGCGTGCCCATCCTGTGGGTGGACAGAGGGGCCGGGCTGAAGGGCAGCTGAGCTGCGAGGCCACTGTCACTCACTCTGCCCACGCGATTACTCGCCTACTGTGGACACAGTGGCCCCCCGCCCCTCTGGAGCAGACAGCACTTGCTACGTCTGATGCCACCTGCATATTCACCTAATATGTTTTTACTGACTTGCCTTTTTGAACTGTAAACAAACGTATTTTTAAAAGGAAACTTTATATAACCACTATCAATGGGAAATCAGGGTCACTCACCATAAATAGGGAATAACCACACTATCAACTGTGAAAGCACAAGTGTGACTGAGTCTCGGCTAGATGCTCCTGCCCTGGCCCAGGCCACCCTGTCCTTGTGGAGGGAGAGCAGTGTGTGTGGGAGAGGGGCGAGACCCGCGCTGTCCAGCGCAGCGGCCACCAGCCTCCTGGGGCTACTTAGATGTAAGTTAATTAAAATGAAACAAAATTCAAAGTTCAGGTCCTCCTCTCACAAGGGCCACATTTCAAGTCCTCAATAGCTGCACGTGGACAGCGTGGATATAGAATGGTTCCATCATCACAGAAGGTTCTACTGGACGGTGCTGGCTTAGACTAGCCCCAAACAGATTCCGTCCTCCAGGGTGCACACAACCTTTGAAAGAGGCCTGGGAAGGAAACACTGCCCCGCTTTGTCGTTCCTTATGGTCCTATTTGAGGTCTCCCTACGCGCCATCTTGGGGTACAAACCCTATCAGTGCTCATGAGGGGTCCCCTGCAGCATGTGGGGGCAGGGCTCAGATGGTCCAGTGCTCTTTCCACTAGGACAACCCCGCCTCCAAGGCACCCACCTGCTTGCGCTGCTTGCCCCCCACATCCCCTGCGCAGCTCTGGCCTCTGCTCACCATGTCCGTGTTGGGGACAGCTGCTGGCACCCAGGCCCCCGTGGTGTTGCGGTACTGGTTCTCGTACACCTCCTCCAGCACCTGGCTCTTGTTGATGTCTGTGTCCAGGAGGAGTCTGGGGGCAGCGAGACCCCAAGTTCCCAGCACACCTCCCCGAACTTACAGGACCCTGGGGTCCTCCTCTGCTGAGTGCTCCCTTTCCTGGCAGCCCCACCAGCTCTGTGCCAGGCTGGGCAGCAGGGCCTGGCGTGCAGGGCAGGGTGGTAGGCAGGGCCCTCTGTCTTGTGCACCCACCCCCAGGGACCAGGCTAGAGAGGCCGTGTGCCCACCTCTCTGGGCTGCTGCTAACCAGCCCTCCCAGGTGAGAAGAAGTGTCAAGTCCAGTGCTGCGTGTCCAGGGGCACACAGGCTCCAGGCCCTACCCCCCAGCCTTACCTTCTCTGGGGCTCCACTCTCCACTGCCCCTGCCAGTGCCATCCATGGGGCGCCTTGAAATCCTCCTTGGGGAGGGCCTTGCGCCCCATGACGTCCGAGAAGTTGGGGCAGCGGGACAGCCCCTGCTGCCCCCACTGGTCTTTATTCTTCGCCTGGTTCTCGTACTGGGGGAGGGGAAGCCATCAGTGCTTGCCACCTCCCCAGCACACACTGGGACATCGGCCTTTCCCTGGGCCCCCAACTCTGGGCTGCAGGCACCTCCTAGAAGTGTGGTCATCAGGCAAGAAAGGGCCCTGTGGCCCCTGCCCTTGGGCCAGGAGCTTGTGTCATCACTTATCAGGAGGCATCCGTTTCCCCCCAGCTGTCTGTCAGCGCAGGCAGGCTGCATTCATCAGCCAAGGGCTTTACATGAACTATCCCCTATGATCCTCACATGCCCATTTCACAGGTGAGGAGACTGAGGCTCAGAGGTCACCCCTACCCAGGTTGCTCAGCTACCGAGGGGTGGAGTCGGGTGGATGCCCATGTTAGGGCCTGGCAATGTCTGCGATGTGACCTGTTGCCCTGTGTCACTGCTGACCCTGAGGAGCCCAGTCCTGCTCTACCACTTGCCACATCTTTGCTGCCTCTCAGCCTTTGCTTCCAGCTTCCCCTGCTGAGCATGCAGTCCCTGCTCCCTGCACCTCATCCTGAATCCCCAGTCCTTCTCAGCATCTCCATGCCCCGCGTGAGGGCTGGTCACGCACGTTATGATACACGCAACTTAGGAACCATAAAGATACGTTTGAACTCAGTAAATTACAAAGCCCGAAACTCAAACTTATTTCTCTTCTGCTCTCAGGGGCTTCTCCTGAGCCATGTCCTCCCCGGGCAGCAAAGGTCATCTCCCGTCCTCTGATTCTAGAGAGGTCCCTAGCTGGCTGCTCACCCACCCGCTGGGTTTGTGGTTCTGTGGGAAGATGCCCCATTTCCTGATCCTCTGACTCTCCCAGGCCTCCCCCTCCCTGAGACCACCAGACTGGCCTGATGGACCCAGTTGGGGTCTGCAGGGGTCCCAGGCTGCCATGTTGGTGACGGACAAGGCCTCCCTGAAAGTTGGAGCCTTGCTCACCTCCTTTGCCCTGAGCCAACTGGGAGAAATTCCCAATCAACCTCCACCAGGGAGAGAGGGACCAGCCCTGGGGGACCACTCAGCTGCCCCTTTTGTCACCACATGCCTGTGGCTTGTCAACAAGGGAACCGATCTGGCAGCCTGGTGAGGTTGTGGCAAGGTTGTGGCATCTGCGACCTCTCTCTATCAGACGCCCTTTCACAATTCTCAGACTGCCAGGAACGCTTTTCTCCACCTTCGGTGCTAGGCCCCTGCAGCTTCGCCCTCCCTCCTGCCCCGCCCGCCCCCGCTCACCGTCTCCGCATACACGACCACTTCGCCCTGGCGGAGCAGCTGCAGATGCTTGCTGTCCATGACGTTGCCGAGCCACATGCAGACCCGGAGGTGAGCTGGGAGCGTGTCCTTGGGTCCTTCACCCTCTGGGTACTGAGTCAGAGGCAGGTTAACCTCACAGGGGTGCGGGTCCCCCCAGGGGCAGGGGTGTGGGCGAGGGAGGGGCACACACACTTGCAACTGGTCATACACAGCTGCCCCTTTACCCTGAGCCCCAGAGCAGGGGCCTCACCCTGAGCTGACTGCTGGGGCTGAAAAGCGAAGGATGCAGAGTTCCTGCCTTCCAGAGTGGTTATACCTGGGACCCCATGCATGACTGAGAGGCTGGTGGTGGTTGTGGGGAGATGGGCAGTGCTGCCTAGGGAGCCTGGGGAGGCTCCACAGCAGAGGAGTGATGATGGTGACGTAGACAGTGAACTAGCGATCATTTGTCGTGTGCTTGCTCTGTGCCAGGCACTGTGCTAAGTGCTGAATGTGCAGTGCATACTGTGATCCCCCCAGACCACCACAAGGTGGGCATCATTATCACCAGGCCCATTTTACACAGGGGCATACTGAGGCCTGGGTACAGTCAGGAGCTGGCCTGGGGTCACACAAGCCAGTGATTTGTAGAGCCGGGATTCGAGTCTCAGTGGTTCTTGCAGGACGAGAAGGGCTCAGATGTACACGGGAGGGGCCTTCCGTGATGGTGGAAAGGGCAAAGGGCAGGCAGGTTTGGGGGCAGGGACGCCCAGAGTGTGGGGCCCAAGAGGGTTCATGCAGGGAGCGGTGGCTGGGGTCGGGCCAGGGAGGTCGAGCCTTCTCCAGAGGCAGTGGGGAGCCAGGGACATCTCCGAGAGGAAGGGAGTGTCCCCATCTGCCTCCCGAGAGGCGGGCTGGAAGCAGGGCTGGGCTGGTGGTCACTCAGCCTTATCTGATGTGATAGGCTGGTGCCCAAACCCTATAGGCATCAAGTATTTTGGACGGCACCCAATCGTGGTCCAGGGGAGAGATGACAAGGGACTAAACCAAGTGTGGCGTGAGGATGACAGAGGAGACCAATTTGAGGAAGATTTATGAGAGACATGGACTTAGTGTCAGCCACATGCTGGTGGTCACAGGCTCTGCCTTCCTCTGGAGACTGTTTAAACCCCATTTCACCTGGTAAAGGACCCCGGAGAGAGGAAGTGGGCCTGCCCTCGGGGAGGGTCATGGGGGCTGCCCCGAGTTCAGGGCTTCTCCCTTGGGGTGTTTCTGGGCCCTCGCCAACCCTGAGGACTCCCCACTTCCCCACCTGCAGGAGGAGGGTCTGTGTCTTCCCACAGAATCTGCCAGAGTACAGGGCCCCTGTTGGGGAGAACAGGATGCTGTGGGCGGGCACCTGTGCGTAGGCCACTCGCTGCTCCTTGGACATCAGCCAGATCATCACGTCCGGGAGGCTCACCTGGGGCTGCCGAGGCAGGAGAGCATCAGGCCTGCGTGGGCATCTCCAAGGCCTGCTCCCCCACCAGTGTGTCCAGTGCCCACCTCGGGGAGCACGGCATTGAGGCGGTACAGCCAGCCCTCCACGGTGGCCACCATGTCCCTGGGCTTGGCTTCCCTGGCCTTTTGGGCCAGTTCCTGCAGGAGGAAGCTGCGGAGCTGCCACCTCTTCCTGTCCAGGTCGGTGGCTTTGTGGTGATCGGTCATGCAGGGCAGAGGGCGCCTGTGGCCAGAACGGGGCAGCGGGGGTTGGGCCTCTGTCCCATCTCACCAGCTCCCGCCCTGCCTACACCAATGGGCCCTTCCTAGACTCGAGATCCTGCCCTGGCCCCTGCGGGCCTGGCCCGGGGAGCCTGTCCCACCCCTCCTCAGGAAGCCTGCTCACTGTAGGTCTGGCCCCTGGGATCTCGTCCATCCCTCTCCAATCCTAGCAGCCCCCACAGTGTGCCGGGCCTGTGCTCAAGGACCTTCTCATGGAGAGGGGTGTGTGTTGTGAGACACGGGCCAAACAAACCCTTGAGGGTAGGGGTAAGGATCCAAGTGGGGTGTGGGGCAGGGGGAGGCCTTGTAGCGAACCTTCCAGAACAGGGAGAGTCCTGAAAAGGGCACTGTGGATAGGAGGAGCAGCAGGGGAAAGGGGGCGGGGCCGGGGCCGGGACGGTGCACTGCTTGTCTGGATAACGACGGGGGTGGGGGGGGGGGAGGGAGGGAGGTTTAGTAGAAGCATCAGGTGTGGGTGTGGGGACAGCAGAGACCGTGCTGGGTGGGGAGGTCAGGGCCATTTCCGGGGGGCCTGAATGGGAGAGAAGCAGCTCTGGTGTTTGGGTTTCAGGCCGGGGGCCACGATCTGAGCAGACTCATATTTCCCGAGGAGGTCGGGGGCGGGGGCGGGGGTTGCCCTGGGTTCCTGGTCTGAACCCCTGAGCAGCCCCACTTGCAGCACGCCCACTCCTACTTGCAGTCCTCCACCAGCTCCCTCCGCAGTTTCTCCCAATGGGGCAGCAGAGCTGGGTCCCTCGGATTCCTCATGGACTTCAGGGTGTCCAGATTGGCTTTCTGTACAGCAGGAGAGAAACGACGAGTGAGCACGGGGCTCACCTGGGACATGCTGCAGGGCTGAGTGGCCCCAGCTGTTCTCAGCAAGGACCTTTGAGGAGGAACCTAGGATGTCAGTTCAGAGCTGTCGCATGCCCTTGCAAGGCTAGGATCCCCACGATCCAATAGAAGAAATGAGTGGAAGGAAGGAGCCAGGATGGGGCAGGACTGTGAAGGAGTACAGAGTCCTAACCCTGGGCTTCTCTTCTGTAGGTGCGAGAAAGCCATGTCTGAGGTGGAGGTGCCAGGTGGCTCTCCTGCCTAAAACTGTTCAGTAGTTTCCTTCCTTGACAGACACCTAAGACCTTTTGTGATCTGACCCCTCCCAGCTTCTTTAGCCTTATTTCCACAACACCTCCATGCCCCTGCCCGCCCGAACTTCACATCACCATGGCTTTGCACATTATTCCCTTCTCTGCACTCCCAGCATGCCCCCAGCAAACTCCTCATTCTTTAAGACTCTGCCCAATGTCACCTCCTTTTCAAATACCTCCTCTGAGCATCCTCTCTTCATCTCCCCTCCCCCACCCCAATCTCTCCATCCGGTAGCTCTCGGGACCTGTATCTCTACTGCAGCCCTGGTTGACTGCATAGTAACTATGGGCATGTCCGACTCCCAGATGGTGAGGAGGGGCTGTGTCTGTGCACCTTCGTGTCTTCAGTGCCTAGCACTGGGTCTGGCACTTCCATCTCAATTGGTGTGGGAAGCATGAGCGAGCTGAGTGACCGTCTCCTAGGACTGTGATTCACTTTCCCCCATCTCCCATCGACGATCCGGATCCTTCCATGCACCCCCCTTGCACCACTCACCAGGCGGTCCCGAGTGAAGTGGAGGAGGTTGAGGCAGTTCATGCGGACGCTGACGTCCTCCCAGTAGGAGGTCACGGCCACGACCGGCTTGGTGTTGTACCAGGGCACGTAATGGTAGATGTTCCCTGAGATAGAGAGACACATGTGTGTGGGGGGGGGTCTGAGGGATTCTGGAAGGTCTCCCCTCACTCTGTCCCATCGGAGGACCTTCCCTGAGCTACTTCATTCCACAAGGATTTGATCTGCTAATAATCTTAACTGGACCCCTCCCACCAGAGGGTGGGCTGGGGGCCAGTTGAGAACTCATGCCCTTTGATGAACGTGGCCAGCCTTATGGAGCATCCATTGTGCTCAGGATGTCATGCAGCATTTCAAAGTCCCCAGTTTACAGGTGGGAAAGTCCAGGCTAGTGGTGGGAAGCAGTTGCCTGGGGTGGCACAGCCAGGTAGTCATAACGCAGGCATCTAACTGCAGAGCCCCGGCCCTTAGCTTTAGGCGAGATGCCAAGGCCAGGGGCATGCCTCGAGGCAGGGCCTCCCTTCTGGGTGGTCTGCAAGGCCGAGGAGGAATGAGCCTGGATTCAGGAGGAGCCCCAGGGTTTGGTTGTGGTGGGCAGACGTCTACCGTAAGGGGCCTGCCAGTGCGGAGGAGTGGGGTCGGCAGGGCAAACACGGATAGACAGTGATGGGTATGGCAGGCTGGGTTCCCTGGCGATGTTCCTTACTGAAATGAGGGGGAAAGCTGGATGAAACATAAGGGACTTTTTTCTGAGAGCTATTGCTGAATTGACATAAAAGGAAGAAATCCACAGAAGCCAAAAATCAAGTAAAAGCAGAAAGTCTGCGAGGCAAGTGGAAGCAAAGCTGACTTTTGTCCTCTGAATCTCTGGCAAATCTTGGAGAATTTGTGCTTCTTTTTGGCAACTGGCGGGACACAGGGGGTCAGGAGAAGAAAGCCTAGCGCTGATCCAGGTGGGCGGTCTACCAGGAGACCCGTGTGTTATAGGTTGAATTGTGTCCCCTCTAAAGCTATGTTGAAGTCCTAAGCCCCACTACCACAGAAGGTGACCTTATTTGGAAATAGGGTCATTGCAGCTGTAATTAGTGAAGAGAGGTTATACTGGAGTAAGGTGGACCGTTGACCCGATAGGACTGGTGTCCTTATAAGAAGAGGAGAGAGACACAGAGAGGTGACAGCCATGTGAGGACACAGAGATGGAGGGAGAACACCAGGTGAGGACGGAGGCAGGGATAGAGGCCGTGTCTACAAGCCAAGGAACACCAGAGAGGGCAGGCAGCCACCAACAGCTGGGAGAAAGGCAGGCAGCACGTTCTCCCTCAGATCCATGAGGAGCCAAGCCTGCCCGCACCTTGACTGCAGACTTCCAGCCTCCTGAACTGTGAGGGAACTCACTTCTGTTGTTATAAGCTGCCCAGTTTCTGGTGCATTGTTATGACAGCCCCAGCAAACCAATACGCCACGAAAAGCTGGCGCTCCGAAAACAAACCCTCGGTCCCCGAGAAAGAATCCAGCGTACAGAAGACAGAGAGGAAACTTGCTCATCTCCAACGTGGATCTGGGTAGAGGGGGCGGGATATTTTCCTGAAAATTTGTCACCACAAGCGTGTGGCCTCAGGCAGGTTGCATTCTGCATTCATGCCCCCTGTGTGGTCTGGAGAAGACTTAGAGTGGTCTCTGGGTGGCAGGGCCCCAGGTAACTGGAGGAAGCAAAGGCAGATCCTCTCTGCAGCATGAAACTTTAGTCAAGTCCCAGAGGATTCCCGCAGATAAACTTGCAAGAAAATGAGCAGCTTAGAACCAACGCACACACTCTGACCCAGCACTTCTGCTCCGTGGTATGCACCCAACACAAAGGTATACACGGCTTCATCAAAAGACTGTAGGAAAATGTTCATCGCAGCACCGTTTAAAGTAGTTCAAAACAGGAAACCACCCAAATCTCCCTCCGTCGCAGAAGGATAAATTACGGTATATTTGCACAACGGAATCCTCTACAGCAATGAAAAGAAATGAACTACAACACGCCCGACAGCATCTAAGTCTGTGAATGCATTTTACAAACAAAATGATGAGCAAAAGAAGCCAGACATAAAAGACTACATACTATGTGATTTCTTTTATATAAAGTTAAAAACCAGACAAAACAAATTGGAGGTTAGGAGAGTGGTGGCTCTTGGTGGGGGTGGAGGGGTAGGACCATGTCTCATGGTCTGACGTTGTCTGTGGGTGTGCTTGCTTTGTGACAATTCATTGAGCTGGACACTTTGGTTTGTGTATTTTCCCACAGGTAGGTTATACTTGAATCAGAAGCTGACTTAAGAATTTAAAAAATGGTGGGGCCAAAACGACAAATACATAAAATACAGTGTGTCAAATGGGGGAAAATGCTATGGAGAAGAATAAAGTAGGGAAACGGGATAAAGAGCTGCCAAAAAGTTTTAAATAGAATGGTTACCCAAGGCCTTTCCTAGAAGATCTAGAAGAAATTATGCAGAATGCATCCCAGAGAGATGAAAAATAGGGAAGAGAGATTTAAAAATATGAAGAACAGAATGAGGAGTTCCACAGAGGATAGAGTGAATTCAAGGAGATATAAGAGACAAGGTTGGGGGGCGGGGGTGGGCTGGCCCAGTGGCACAGCGGTTAAGTGCGCACGTTCCACTTCGGCGGCCAGGGGTTCGACAGTTCGGATCCCAGGTGCGGACATGGCACCGCTTGGCAAGCCACAGTGGTAGGCGTCCCACATATAAAGTGTAGGAAGATGGGCACGGATGTTGGCTCAGGACCAGTCTTCCTCAGCAAAAAGAGGAGGATTGGCGGCAGATGTTAGCTGAGGGCTAATCTTCCTAAAAAAAAAAAAAAAAAAAATAGAGAGAGACAAGGGGAAGAGGTAATTTTCAAAGGGAAAATATCTGATGACTTCCGAGACTTGTTGGAAGACACCAGCTCCAGACGCTGGCACTGAGCGAATCATTAGAATGATAAACAAGATGTCTATCCGTGAATGGGCTTCTCAGATAAGAGCGTGGGGACACACACTGGCAATTTTCTTCTACTCTTGGATAGAATACAAAAGCAACAAGGAGAAGGAAAATAACTCCATTTTCAGTAAAACAAAGAGACAGATATAATCTGCAGACTCAAAATACACATAAGGACTGCCAAAAGCAACCGTGATTGCTGTGGAAGCCTCAAGGGGAGAAGCGCAGGAGAAGCCACCTGGGGGCGAGCGAAAGGCAAGAGGACAGCAGGAGGCGCAGCCCGCTGGGAGCGGAGCGCGGAAAGGGCCAGCAAAAATACACTCCCAGAGCGAGCTCAGGGCTCAGGTGACAAATGTGAGCCAGGAACTCAGAAAACAAATAGAAGAGAAAACAAACACATCACAGAAAAGACTATATAAAAAGGAGCCCAAGGGAGATTAGACCCTGCAGACAATTCCGTGAGAGGCACTGAAATAAGAAAAGGGACCAAAATAAAATGGAAATGAAGAGTCAAAGAGGATTAGGGAGAAAACGACAGATAGAGAAGAAAACCAAGGAGAATTGTCAAACCCAGAAACGAAGCCCCAAGTAGAAAACCAAACAATGGAACAGGATATTGTAAAATATAATTTGAGAAAACTCACATGAGAAAAAAATAGGCTTTTTAACAAATGGTGCTTGAAAAGTCAGCTATCCTTATGCACATTAATTCAAAATGGATCATAGAGCTAAATGTAAGGACTAGAACTGTAAAATCTTTAGAAGAAAAAATAGGAGAAAACCTTCATGACCTTGGGTCAGGCAGAGTTGTTAGATATGACACCATAAAAGAAAAAAACTGGACTTCAAATTAAAAATGTTTCAAAAGACACCATTAAGAAAATGAAACAAGCCAAGGACTACTTGCAAATCATATATCTGATAAAGGACGTTTATCCAGAATATATATAGAACTCTTACAACCCACCAAGAAGACAAACAACCCAATTAAAAAATGGGCAAATGATTTGTATAGATGTATCACCAAAAAAGATATATGAATGGCTAATGAGCACAGAAAAAGCTGCTCTGCATCATTAGATATTAGGGAAATGCAAATTAAGACCACAATGAGATACATGCCCACTATAATAAACATAACGAAAAAGAGGAAATAACAAACCTTGGTGAGGATGTGGAGAAACTGGAGCCGTCATGCATTGTTGAGGGAATGTGAAATGGTGCAGGCGCTTTAGAAAAGGTTGGCAGTTTCTTAAAAAGTCATTCCACTTCTAAGTGTATATCCAAGAGAAATGAAAGCATACGTCTGCGCAAAGACTTTACCCAAACGTTCATAGCAGCTTTATTCACAATAGACAAGAAGTAGAAATATGTCCAACAACTGATGAATGGATTAACAAATGGTGAATGGTACATGGTACGATGGAATATCATTTGGGAATAAAAAGATATCAAGTACTGATACAGGCTACACCATGGATAAACCTCAAAAACATTATGGCTCAGGGCTGCCCTGGTGGCGTAGTAATTAAGTTCGCGTACCCTGCTTCAGCAGCCAGGGTTTGCAGGTTCGGATCCTCGGCGCAGACCTATGCACCGCTCATTAAGCTATGCTGTAGCAGCATCCCACATACAAAATAGAGGAAGATTGGCACATATGTTAGCTCTGGGACAATCTTCCTCAAGCAAAAAGAAGAAGATTGACAACAGATGTCAGCTCAGGGCCAATCTCCCTCACCAAAACCACCCCCCTAAAAACATTATGCCAAGTGAAAGAAGCCAGACGTGAAAGACCACGTACTGTATGGCTCCATTTATATAAAATGTCCAGGAAAAGTAAATATAAAGAGACAGAAATAGGCTAGTAGTTGTGTGGGCCTAGGGATGGGAACAGGAAAATGACTATAAACAAGCATGAGGGATTTCTTGGGCTGATAGAAAGGCTCTAAAATGGGGCATGGTGATGGATGCCCAACTCTATAAATTTACTAAAAGTCATTGAATTGTAAAAAAAAAAAAGTGAATTTAATGATATGTAAATTTTACCAATAAATAAATTACTAACAAAATAAAAGACTTGAATCTACATATTGAAAGAGTACACCACATGCCAGGGAAAACTG